TTCAAATAAATCATGGTTGTACGGCAGTGAAGCATCGGTGTTGAACACTGATGTCATGCTGCCGATGATGATGATGATGATGGTGACTGACCGGACGTAATTGCAAACTACGAATTGAGTTGTTGGAACTCTCCATATATTTCTTCTGAAGGGGCCTGACGGCATCACCTACAAACCGGTCATATGTTGCATAGCTCTGCCGAATAAAACACTATTCCGACATTTAAGTAGATATTTAAGTAGACAAGTAGACAGTCTCCATTAACAAACCACTTTTCGCTACAGCAAATGCAGTACGCTCACTCAACGTTTTTGGTTTGTATGAGTCAGAATATTATTCCGTATGAATTACAGGTCACGTGATCTGCTGGGTCCATTTGAGTCGAGGGGCGAGAACAATTTGTGCCGAATCAACTCCATCCCTATGATGATTACACCATATAATCTGATGGGTAATCACACTTTACTCTTAAGAATTGACCATTTCATTTCACGCACTTTCCGGTAGATGTTTAGATTGACAGTCTTTCCACTCGTGCTTGTAAAATGACTCTCTTTCTCTTGCCTGAGAACATCACAAACGAGAGATTCAGCTGGGTTCCCGATGAGTCCCTCAAAAAACCAAATTAGTTTGCAAATGAGTGTATATTCGCCAATTTCGTGCAATTTGGTTTCCAGTAGAACATAAGGTTGACGGAAACCCGGGGACTGCGCCTACCTGATGAGCCCAAAGTGGAAGGGCGAAACCGGTCGTGGGCTGTCGACGAATTTTCAGCAATCTTATGAGAAGTACATTACAAAGATATAAACTCTCTTTCTTATTCGGGTTAGTTGGAAATTCAGAAATAACGGTCATTTGTGCTGAGACAACAGGTCCGGCATTTGTCAAGAGCCAATGCACTCAGTTCACACTCACCCTCCACATCATTTTGGGCCAGCTTGTGTGCGTATACAGCTTGAGCGTGCATACGCAAGAACGGATGATCATTCGCGGTAATTGGTGATTCCAGTTCCTCCTGGGTAAGCAAGCCCCCAGCACCGCTCTCATCCATACGGACGATTCCGGGAGTGAGCGAGGCGAATCCGGACAGGCCACCCATTGCTTGATACGGACACGGTTTACCGACAGGTCGACCTCGGGCATGGCGCTCAGCTGCTGTCTCCATCTGTTTGAGCAGAAAGGCTTAAAGTAGCAGCCCTGGTATCGAGTAGGTGGATAATTCGGCTTTATGGACATTTTGGCGCGTAGTAACTTACCACCATGTGATGTTTGTGTGCCTCGATGCCGCAGTCGCAATGCATGCTTGTCTTGAAACCTGCGCATTGACAGTTTGGCTTGGAGCAGAAAAACGGTGCTTTCTAGAAAAGAAACGAGGAATAAAATGATGCGTCAGGAAGCCAATAGATTTCAAATTAATCATCTTGTCAACAGTTGGGAAAATATATAGGTTAACTTTCCAGGTTAACTTCCCAGACATCTCAGTTTTCTATAGAGGATAATGTCGGTAGCTCACGTAGCGAGATGGTCGTTGGATTGTTCGCTGAGCTGGGTAATTTGATTGCAAACGTTTCATCACCAATCGAGGTGACATCATCAGTGCGTGTGGCACAACTACTAACGCACCGCTACGCACCACTACGCTCCTCAATAACGGACTAATGATGCCACCTCGATTGGTGATGAAACGTTTGCAATCAAATTACCCAGCTCAGCGAACAATCCAACGAACACATCTCAGTTTACTTAACCGAATGTGTGGTCGGCATGCGTCAACAGAGTCCCTTTGAAACAGCATTCAAACCATGGTAGTTCTTGGAAAACATTTCAAGCATTAGTTCGTTCACTGGATGTCCAAATGAGAAAAATCACTAACAGAATCGAAGACCGCACCTTCGTAGCTGGTCTCTTAAATACAAAAGTTGGGGGCGGGCTATTGGCAAACTTGGATACTTGGATAGGGTAAGATGTCAACCTCACCCGACGCTTGTAAAATACTAAAAAAGGGGGTTCAATTAACGTGAGTTATTTTGTGCAGCTGTACAAATCAGAATGTTCCAGCTTGTTAGAAAACATACTAACTTCGCCTTCCAAAGACTGGAATTCCTGGGCTTTTCAGTCAAGACTAGTTCACCAGTGAGACCAAAATTGGAGGCTGCTTGGTTAGCAATTGGAAAAGGATCGGCCAACTTTTGAACCCAAAGACCTAAAGTCACTGTTACTGTGGGAACTTCTTTGAGATAAGAGAACTTCTCTTACGAGATGCGAACCTCCGGCTAATGACCGTCCTTAGTATGATACCTGTCCTAAAGTAACTACAGTTAGGCTTTACTGGGCATGGTAGTCCAAGGCACTCGATGAAAATGACCTTGCGTTCAGATCGTCCCTTTGATGCACGTTGCGCACTGAACTAGTGTCACGTGCCAGCATCGTGAATGAAGTGTACGACTTGGGCGTGAGGTCCGTCTCGATCACGTGCACTTGTGAAACTCAACCCGGGGTAATTACGCGCAACAAACAATTATACGAGTGAGTGCTGTCTAGTCCAGACTTTCTATGTGCTTATTCGGAGGTGTACGCACCTCGGAATGATTGTGTCAGGCTACCACCAAGTTCTTGCCCTGTCAGGTTTCATTGTTTACTACAAAACAAGCCTTTAAATGAATTATCAATGTCCGGCACTGATATTAATGCTCCTGTTGCATGCTCCCGCTCTTTTGCTGATCTATTGACGCTTCATCATATATATATGTAATTATATTGAAAGCACTTCAGTGAAA